TATGTATATATATACATCTATATATACATATATATATATATACGTATATATATATATATATTTTATATACATATGTATATATGTATACATATTTATGTATATATATATATAAATAAATATATGTATGTATGTATGTATGTATGTATGTATATATATGCTTGTGACTCAAACAAAGATTTGCTTAGATTGAGATATCCTTGCATAAACTTGTGAAAAAGTTGGAAAATTTATTCGATTAATATAGTGTGCAACGCTATAAGAAACAAAACAAGCCCTCATTCTGAACTGCAAACTTCTCTTAGAATGCCGTTAGAGCAGTGACAATTCAGGTGGTTGAAGCGGCCAGAACCATGGCTACTGGAAATCACAAGCCAAAGGGTAGAAGCAACAAAGTACAAGGACCATATATCAGGGAAACGATTACATCCTGATGCAATATATAAATTCAAGATTGGAAATGTAAAGCAATTTTTCTAGATGTTACAGACTTACGCACTAAGAACCAGGGTCTGCCGTACTGAGCCGTACCACCCGGTACGGGCGGCACGTATCGGTCCGACAGGTTTTCGGTACGCGGACCGACTGTTACCGTTCCGAGGTACTGTAGCACTGTGGCAGTTTACTATAGCACTGTAGCAGTGCTACAGTACTCGGTACACCTGGGTGTACCACTCGGTATACCGTACCGTACCGGTACCGAGCCCAGGTCGAAATACCCAAGAAGTAATAAAAACCTGGAATTCTCAATCTAACATTGATCTTTAATGCTCAACAACATAAACTTAAGAAGCAAAGAAAGAAACTGACAAAAATTGTGCATATAAAATATAAATTGATCATCCTAGGATGCCATCACACCACGTAATAAAAATTCACTGCTGTCATCACAGGCCTGACATTAACAATGTCCAATGCTATACTTTAACATAAATGAATATTCTACTTGCTTCAGAAAATGTTACCTGGACATTTTTGTGTTTAGTTCATGTGTCTGTCAACATGAAGAATTACTACAATTAGCATATCATGTGCATCCATGAGACACCAGCAAGAAAAATGCACTAGTTCACTTCAAAAAATGATCTACTGTATGAATGCATTTCCAGAATGTCATCACAGTAAGAGAATGGTAGGAAAGTATTCGATACATACTACAAGATAATGACATAGTAAGAAAGAGCACAGTCACCTTCTTTCCACGAATGACAACTCCAGACTCTCCTTGAATTACCATGTACTTTGATGATCCAATAAATAAACCAATGGGAGCTAGCGATCCAGGTTCATTGAAATCATTCATTACATTGGTGAACTCCTCAGGCTTAAACTATAAAGGGTAATAAATAGAAACATCAGTTTAGACAACAGGAGGAAATCATTTCAAGCATTCACATGCATACTAGCATGAAATAACACAAAAGTATTTCACATGATCTATATTAGCTATGGTTGGAGTAATAAATGAAACGAATAAGAAAAGATATCATGTATAGAAGATTTGAAGCATTCACACGCATATTAGCATGAAATAACACAAAAGTATTTTATATGATCTATTGGCTATGGTTGGAGTAATAAATGAAAATAATAAGAATAGATAGCATGTATAAAACATTAGAAACTAGCACCACTGCATGACATATAAGCATAGATCTGATGAAACATTGTCACATTCAAAACTACCTCAATTAAGCAGCAAATAGTTCATAAAATGTATTGACATCGAGTAAGAAATTAGAATCACAATCAGAGACTTGAGAACATTATTAAAATAACGGCCAGTCACTGGGGGTTGTAACAAGCAAGATGGAACCCAATAAGATATCATGCATAAGAGAACTTCTGAATTGAATGAAATCAATCAAAAAATTGTCACTCAGGATCATGCGAATCTTGTGACACTAATATTATGCACAGAAATTTACACATGGTGTGATACATGTTTATCTGCAATTTTTCAAGAAAAATCCAAAAAGAGAGTCAATCACAACACAGAGAGGAGAAATTAGACACAAAGTTCTGATACTAAATTTAAATAAGAATACAAATTTCAACGGCATAAATTTATCATATACTCAAAAATTCGCAACCAATCTACGTCAATCCAAGTACATAATACATATCCCAATACCAAGAGACACAATGTTACAGCAATCGCCAGTTCGGAACTATCCATCCTATCAGACCAAACACATGGCTCATCAAAACCATATCTTGCCAAGTTATCGTCAAATAAACACCATTTAAATCAATCATACTACAAATTTACTATCCAAATCCAATCAGACCAAACACATGGCTCATCAAAACCATATCTTACCAGTTATCGTCAAATAAACACCAATTAAATCATCATCCAACAAATTTACTCAATCTCCCAGCAAGGTCAATTCACCAAAGGCAAAAAGTGCAGAATCCAGCATATAATATGCCTTGAACAAGATCGTAAGATCTAAGATGGAGGGAATGCGAATAGAAATTGGGGGCTAAACCTGAGGAAAGGATGCGCTCTGCGCCCAGACGCTGCCGTCCTGACCCATGATCGCCGCCGCCGTCAGACGGTGGCCCTCGACCTCGCACATTAAGTGATCGTCGACGTACGTTTGCCACGACATCGTCTCTCCCTCTCTCTCTCTCTCTCTCTCTCTCGGGCTTTAAATCTAGTTTTGGGGGGAAGGGGACGAGAGGATGGGAGGGGAGAGCGGATCTGAAGTGCTGCCCCACCACTCGCTCAACCCGACTGAAGACGTGCCCTCCAAGTCCGGCGTTAATAATGCTGCAATTTGATCGACGTGGCGTAACTTATGCGCATTGCTTTGACAATAATTGCCGAGTGACCCACGTCACACAGGATGACTTCGAATCCGACGGCCCCGATCGAACTTTGGAAGGAGGTGTCACGCATGACGGAGGCCATAACAGTGGGTTGGCCTTTGTTGTGCTTTTCATATTGGGCCCGAAGCCCAATGAACGCCGTCAAGAACCCGAGTTCCGTTTGTAACCTCCTAACGCCGTCAAGAACCCGAGTTCCGTTTGTAACCTCCTAACGCCGTCAAGAACCCGAGTTCCGTTTGTAACCTCCTAACGCCGTCAAGGACCTTTCGCGATTAACCATTCGATCATGCTTCGCGTTGCAGTCTCCCGCCTCAGGGCTCCCAAGGTTGGTATGCCGAGAAGATTAACCCTAACCCGAACGCTCTTTTGCTGTGTAAACGATTCCATTCGTCACGATCTTCTGTTTAGACTCGATCATTCTTGCGTTTTGTCCGTGTCGATCGCCCTCTTTGCGACCTCTTATCGGTTCGTTATTTCGTGGCCAGTTCTCTTAACGTCCTTGAGTTCATTTCGTACTCCATGTTTTCCTTCAATTCGAGGTTGGACTGACAATATCATAAAGTTGATGTTATTGTTAGTGTCTTCGTATTTCATGCTTTCTGCAGACAAGGGAAATTTGTCACCTAGAATGCTGTACTTTTGTTGCAGAGCTTCTTAGGATGGTTAATTTGTGGATTTCTTCATGGGAAGTATTGTTTAGAGGAAATCTAGGTTTTTCAAATGGCTTGGTAATGAGATAGGGAGAGTGATTGCGCACTTGGAGCTTGTTCTTTGCTGTGCTGGATTGTACTGGCAGTGGAGATGGATGCTTGCTGACAGACTTGCTCATGTTTTTGATTGATTGGCACTTGCACGGGGACGTGTCTGATTGGTGTAGACGCAGCATTTGGATGTGCTCAAGCTGAAGCTCTGGCCTTTCCGAGCACAAAGTAAAGCCTTCGTCATTGCATTGTAATGACACAAATTCCCACAACATGGTGTCCAATTAAGTTTCCCCTGAGCAAGCTTCCTGTATTTTAGCAGGTTTTGTTCCAAACCAGATTTCCATAGATGAAAAAGCTTTAAGAGAAAGGTTTTTTACTACAAGTGCTATTAGTATCCTTTTGGATTTTTTGCAGAATAAAAGGCTCTCTTGGGAGAGCATAAGACAGTAAATGAACAAGGCAAGTGAAGTAGAACCATTCATGTACTATTATGATAAGTTGTCATTCCTCTCAAAGCAGACAATCCAGAAACTTGCCGCACACTGTTGAGTCTTTGAACCAGCATAGCAATTATATCTGAAATGACAAAGTTGGAAGATGATATACTTGATTGGTCCGAAACAGAATTTTTCTCAAAAATTCTGCTGAGTATTACATTTAAACCTCAACAGCAGGTTTTTAATGGGATTGACTTGTGTAGGTTGTTGTATATCTTTGTCAAAGTTCGACTTAGTAGGATTCCTTTAGCTGTCTCCATCTCATTTGTAAGATTTTTGATATAGCATCTATGTCTGAGTATTTTGTCTTCATCTGAATAATATAGCATGTCTTACAAACTGAATTTGGATACATCAATCCCACTTACCCTTCACTATAATTGTTCATGCAAATTTTGCAATTTTTACCTGGAATTATTGATCATCTTCCTTCTTCTCGATCTCGCAGGACCTCCATTGAGCATTAAGTATGTTTAAGAAAATATTGTTCTCTTTCCAAGAGATAATGCTTTCACCATTTACAGTATCATCTTGGGGAGATGGTATGGTGTAATTAACTGTAAAAGTAAAAAAATTGTTGAAGTAAATCAGTTTATTCTAGTTTTGCTATGCCAGTTTCTAATTACTTGGTATTTCTTATAGTCATGCATGTTCCAAGCCAAAATGAAGTAATTGTTAAGTATGTTTTTTGTAAGAAGATTCACTGTGGATCCATATTTGAGGAGCCATTGCAGTCATCACTCCTTAATTTCTTATACTAAATTTTCAAACTCATGGCTTCATTTCATTTGGTCATGCAGCTAAAATTGAATCTTAGTTATTCTTTTTTTTTAAATGTTTCCTTGTTTGATGAGGCTGATGTTCCTCATGGTTGACTTTGATTTCATATTGGCCTTCTTGACAGGAAAGGCATATAATCAAGTAGCAAGTTGCAAGGCAAGACAAAAAAGATGATAGCACTGTTCTTTCACAGGACAAAGTTCTCAGGTTTTCTCTTCGGTTTTATCTTTCTCGTTGTGATAGCCTATCGTTGGATTTCTCGAAGGAGACATACTATAGATAATTTGACGCATCTAATGGATAACTTGTTCAGATGCTTATTGGCATCCACAGATTTGAAACTTGTCTGCATTTTCGATGTCACTACTGTTTTTTATATCACAACTAGGTTGTTCCCATTGTATTTTAGTCTACTATTCTCATGACACTATCTGCGAGCCTGCAAGGCAACTAGACAAAAACAAATGGTTTGTTTCATCCCCTTAAGAACATAAATTTTCTTTCTACCTAATAAATCTAATTAATGAAGTTCAACAGTAAGAACAATGTGGGTAGGGGCATAAACTTGTGTTAGGTCTCTTATATTTAACATGCATTGATTGTTTTCCAGATCAGTTGTTATGGCACCATTATAGAACTAGAAAGGCTTCACTAATGGACAGGTTCTGGAAGTGTTGTCACCCAATAAGATCCATTCCTAGAGTGTGATCTACTGCATCATCACTACAATTTATGATGTTCCTACTGGCATCATCTCCTACTGTTGCAGGATTCCTTGTGCTCAAAGTGTTTCCATGGCACTTTAAGGTATGATCCCTTGGTAAGTCCTAAAGATGGGAAAACGTTGATTATCTTTGATTAACTTCTTTTTCCTCTCCTTTTCTTATAGGGGACTGAATTAATTGTGACCAACTGGGAAGGAGGCTGTAATACTATTTGTGCAAAATGTAAGTTTTTTTTTTCAACCATCAACTGTAAATTAAAAATATTGTTTGAAAACAGTAATCTGTAAAAATCAGCTCCCCATCTAAAGATGCTTTTTTTTTTCATTCATCCAAAATTGGTCAATTGGTGGGCTTATTTTCACTTTTATTGACAGCTAAAATTTAGCTCATTTACTAATCTAGCTTAGACCAAAATATCACTTACAACCAATATAAGATTAATTGGTATTCCATAGTTGAAAACTTCTAGCACATGAGATTTGATCCAAATGTTTTGAAGTCCATCCCTTCTCATTTATATAAATATACATTTTGTATTCATCTGTGACATTCTGTATCTGACTAATTTCCATTATGCAAAATGCAAGTATTATTTCAGTTCCTTCTTGTACTTGGGATTTTGACATGAACATTATATTTGTTGCACATAATAATCTTCCACATTAGAATGTAGAAAAGAAACCTTGAGAATGCCTCTAAAGATTCATTATTAAGGGTGTAATAAGTACCCTTCATGTGTCATATAATCTGTTCATATGATAGATTTACTGGTCTAATAATTTTTTAAAAATGGTGAAACTATTGCTTGTTGTCCAAATCATCTTTACAACAATAAAAAGCAAATATTGTTTTAAAATTAAACCATGCGTGATTGCATCATTCATTATCCATCCATTTCTGAAAGAGTAGTGATTCACATTATTGTTTCTGTGATGTAATATTCGGTATAATATAGAATTATGGCATTGACTAGTTTGGCATCATAACGTTTCTGGGTCATGTGATTCCATACTCATCCATCAGGTCAAGTCCTGATACAAATAAAAAGAAGCAATAATGGTTGTTTCCTTTGTTAATAATATATTTGTCCCTCTAAAGACCTCATGAAAGCCATTATTTTAGATTATAAACTTGAAAAGGCTGATGCAGGTCATGCCACTTTTCTTTCATTCCTTCTCGTGCTTGCATGCGTATGACAGGGAACAACTTGTCTTGGAAAATAATAATAATAATGATAATAATTTTAATATATCAAAAATCAGTCTGATATATTCTTTCCTGTATCATAAAATAAATTATATTCCAAATAAATACTGATCTTGGAGTTATCAGTATTTGAAATAGTATATTTAATTTGATAGGAAATTAAATGCGAAGGATATCATTATTGTGCAAAATCTAAATTGTATAAGAATCTCTCGCACAACATCTTGGGATGTGAAGAGGGATCTCCTTGTCCACCATTTGAATGCACTCATTATACAAACAAGCAACTTGGTTACTGTGGGCAAAAGAAAGCTATGTGGGGGACAAAACATAATTAAATGGAATTTTATATTAGAACAAATATGTGATTTGGCTTAAACTTGATTGATGGTGCACAAGAAGATGAGGCTTACATTTGCTATCTTGGAATGATTGATTTGGAAATGCAGTACTAACCTTGGTGATTGCTTCATGAAATGTTTTATTTGGTTGGAGTGTTATGGTTATATATGTCAAAACTCCATTTCCATGTTAAGTATTACATGACATATCTTACAATTAGAGGTATCATTTGTTATCTTCTTGGATGTTGATTGATCTAATACATAATTAGGTTGACTAACATACAATAATTCATCGCCCATTGAATTGATTGGTTATTGAGTCTCGTAATACTGCACATCACTTAAAAGCAAACTTTGCAACATCATTAAACTGAATAGAAGTATTTCCAAGGTTTGACCTTTTTATTACTATCATTAGTAACTTAAGATCATGTTCTTTTGAATAATGCTCTAAGATCACTTCTCCTTATCACCTATTACATGCAACAATTTGATTGAGAGTTTGCTATCCATATCTTCCACGGCTCTAATTTCTATTTAAATTACTAAAAGGTACTAAGCATATTTTTAATTTTACAAGAAAGAAGAATCGTCTTAAACCAGTTGCCAATATTTTTATTTTAATATTACAAGCGAGATTCTCGTTTATGACTTCAATCAACCTCCAATTCAACTAATTTTTCTTCGTACGTTGATTCACTTGAATGATTAAGTTCCAAGGCTATCAATTAAGAAGTTAATCTTCTTTATTTAATTATAGTAATTATATTTTAGTTCCTTCATAGTGCTACATGGATCTTAGAATCGTGTTCTGAACTGAAATATAGTCTAATATAACAATTATTGGATCCCCGTTTTGCTATCCAATAAATATGAATGCAAGAGAGATGAAGTCATACATCATGTTTGATTGCTATTTTTCAAGTGTGATTACAAGTTATAATGGCATCTGAATCCTAAATAATTTTCATTTTAAAATAAGATAATCAAGTAGAAAAAGATTTAATTTCAATTAAAGATATTATTTTGTCCATCTAATTAGATTAAATTAGATTTAGGTGCTCTATTAGATCAGTATGTTTTTCTCTCGATTGAGAGTGATAAATGTGGACTAATTATAGATTATATTCTATAGTTAGATATTAATATCACAATCCTTACACTTTTAAAAAAATCATATTGGAATATCTATAGTCATAAAGGTAAAACATATAGCTCCATTTATTCTAGTTTCATTGATTTTAGCGACGAAAACATGAAAATAATAAACAAAGAAGTAATTTCAAATTTTCAATATTATAGTTGACAGTGAGAAAATGATAATAAGAGATAAGAATCGCTCTTGTTATCGCTCTCCTCATCCACAACAGTCATCCGTTGCCCTTAGTGGTATCGTCGTCCATCACTATTAATTGAAATATTAAAATTATTTTTTTACTTATTATTTTCGTGGTTTCATTGATCTCCTCATCCACAACAGTCATCCGTGACCCTTAATGGTATCGTCGTTCATCATTATTAATTAAAATATTAAAATTATTTTTTTATTTATTATTTTCATGATTTCATTCATAAAATTAACGGATAAATAAAGTTAAATATTTTATTTTTATAATTATAAAAATTTTAATATAATTTTTTAATTAGCTCATAAATATATATCCTTCCTGTGATGACGTGGCGTTTTCTCATACGTTGGAAATGATTCTACGGCACTCGAACCAATACGCGGGGACCGTAACTGACGTCACAGTGGCAATGTCGTAAATAAGTAGTCACTCTCACCATTATTTAAATAGGTCGATCTGCTTTCGTCGTTCTCCGCCCTCTCCGCTTTCTTCTTCTTCCTCTCCGTCGTCTCTCGCTCTCCCTTCTTCGAACGTCACGAGACCTCCGAAATATAAAGCTAAACAAATCCCTATCCCTCCCTCTCTCTCTCGTGACGACATCGAGAGCACGCCGCGACTTTAATTTATCGATCTATTTGTCTATATATACATATAGTTGAAGATGGCTTCGTCCTCAACCCCAACTGTGCCGCCCGTTGCGTCCGGCATTTCGTCGAGCAGCCGCGATGCACTCCGAGGCGTGTGACCCCCAGGAGCCCCAGTCGCCCACGGGGCGCCGGATCCTCGACTTCGAGTTCCGCAACTCGCTCCCCCGCGTCCGCACCCCCTCCCTCTCCTCCGCTGCCCCTGATCCCTCCCCGAGATCCCCCGCCCTGTCCTCCCCTCCCGTCATGGGCAGCGAGGCGCGATCCGCGGTCAAGATCGTCAAGGGGGAATTCGGGTACGTCCTCGAGGACGTGCCCCATCTGACCGACTACCTCCCCGACCTCCCCGTGAGTTCACCCCTCTTTGACCTCCAAGTTCTTGCTATGAGCTGTTTTGGGCTTTGGGTGAAAGAAGAACCCCGACCCTTTTCAGGTTTTGGATGCCATCTTCAGTGACAACAGTAAAAGACCAGACAGGAATACCTGATCTTTACAGGTTAAGCGAGCATGTTATGGCTTCGTGTTAGTGTTTGATGTTGCCTCTGGATACACCATATAACTGGAACGATCTAGTTGAGATCATAGTGTCAGGCCAGTGTATCAAGTTCTAATTAGAATTGCCAGTGATATACCATAATTCAGAATTTGTTTTCTATTTAGCTCTGCTTGACGTAAGAATAATCAAGATAAGTGAGGAGAGGGGAAAAAAGGAATGAAAATTGGGATCTTAGATAACTAGGTAGTGCCTCTTCTGGATAAAAAAGAGGAAGTTTGATGCCTTTGTCCAACAACTTATTCATATTCATTAATTGATTCTCCGAATCTTACCGGCTAAAATTTTCAGTTTTATGTTTTTCTGATAGGCTGTTCGAGCATGAAGCAGAAATCAGCTAAATATAGAAACTTGCTCTATATTCCTTATGTCTATTAATTGCTCTTCTGGATTCTAGGAGGACTATTAATCAAGTAATGCACACCTTTGGTTTTCTGTTCTTCTTATGTGCTTTCATCCACTGTAGTCATTTTATATATATGCCTATTAAGTCAAGACAGAAGCGGATACTCATTATTTTTGAATTACTCTCTTGGAAACATAACTTTTAAGTGCTGTGATGATGTGATAATATTTTTGTTGCAGGCATACCTTAATCCACTCCAAGATAATCCGGCTTATTCAGTTGTCAAGTATGTTCCCTCAGTCACTCATCCCATCTTTCAGTATCTCTCATGTGTTTAGCAGGTCTTAATGATATACCATTCTTCATGTACTTGCTGATATTATCACCAGGCAATACTTTGTTGATCACGATGATACTGTTCCTGAGAAGGTGAGTTGTTCATGCTCCCCATAGTTAAGTTAAATGCAAGGACTAGCACAGTTTGGAACTCTGTTTTACACATCAAAATGGAAAGATGCAATTGATTTTACAATGGTTTAGAATATGTTTGTGTTATATATGGTAACAAATTGTTTTTCTGTGGTCCATAGATTGTTGTCCAGAGAGATAGCCCAAGGGGCCTCCATTTTCGGCGTGCTGGGCCTCGCCAAAGGGTACGTCAACTGCATATGTTTCCTAGTATACTAATCGTGAGTTTGAATGAGCAATATTTCACTGACAGGTAACCTTGGTATTATTTAGGTGTACTTTGAGTCAGATGATGTCCATGCTTGCATTGTAACATGTGGAGGTCTTTGCCCAGGGCTTAACACTGTAATTCGGGAAATTGTATGTGGCTTGACACACATGTATGGTGTCAACAAAATAATTGGTATTGAGGTGAGGACTAATTGCTGAACTGCATACAGCTCCTTCTTCCTTGGCTCTTTTGCATGGTGCTTCATTTACTAACTTTGTTATATGCTTTCTAATGATGCTGCATTTACATCATTATGTAGTGTTTTTGACTTACAAGTTCAGTGGCATTATAGGGTGGATACAGGGGATTCTATGCTCGCAACACCATACAATTAACACCAAAGAGCGTGAATGATATTCATAAACGTGGTGGCACAGTCCTTGGTACATCACGAGGAGGCCATGATACTTTAAAGATAGTGGACAACATTCAGGATCGTGGGATTAATCAGGTTCAATTTTAGGCTGTACTATATTGTGAAGTTTGTTTATTTGCCTCAAGGTAAGAGAATGTCAGTTTTTCGCATTAATTTATGAGGAATCATGTGCTCGCCAGGTTTATATCATTGGAGGTGATGGGACACAAAAGGGAGCAGCTGCTATATTTGAGGTAAAAACGTCAGGAAGCCAGAAGTTCTCTTGATTACAGTCTCTGAAATATATTGCTCCATACTAACTGAATGTCAGATTCTGCTAATATTTGTGACATCACATGATGATATTCATTTTATTCATTTTTTATTGTGGAGATTTATGGACATAGCTTCATCCATTAAAATCTAACATGAAGTGCTAATAATCTCTCTTGTTTTTGTTGATGATAATCACTCATGTTGACAATTCTGACTTTCCACTCTTCCTCCAAAACCTACTTCTTCCTTTCTACTGCTTGGAGAAGTAAAATATCAACTTGAAACTGCTATTTATACAGAGAGACAAAATTATTCTCTATTTTGATTTCTCCTTCAACTGTATCTTAGAAAATAGTGATGACCTTTTTCTAAAATTTTAGAAATATGATCTGTTCAATAGATTCTTATTGATCATTCCCTACAGGAAATTCGAAGGCGTCGTCTCAAAGTTTCTGTCGCTGGGATTCCTAAGACAATAGACAATGACATTGCGGTACTACTTGTTCTTACTATTTTCTACATATGTAATTCAACAAACTTCCTTGTCATCTTAGGAGCCTGAAAATTCTTGCAACCACTTCATCATCACACTTAGTTGTTATTGTAATTCAGGTTATTGACAAGTCCTTTGGTTTTGATACTGCTGTTGAAGAGGCTCAGCGTGCAATTAATGCTGCACATGTTGAGGCTGGGAGTGTTGAAAATGGCATAGGCGTTGTAAAACTAATGGGCCGCTATAGTGGTAAAACTCCTTTCTTGGTAAAATGATCAAATCTGAAAGTGATAAATCATTTTTAAATTGGTAAAATTGTGTGATACAGTTGACATGTATATAACAAGATAGTTTCTTTCTTCAAATTAATATATAGGAAAATTAGACATTTACCATCAGCATGCTGATGACAATATAGCCCCATGCTTCATGTTGTTCCTTGATATGTGCATGCCAAAAATCTGTTTGAATTAAGTATCACCAACAGAAGCTACATGAGCTTCAAACTTCAGTACCCACATGCTATCAAAGGTTTTTTTATAATATAGAGATCATAATAATTTTTTTGTGATTCTAAATGCTTGTTTCAGTTAACATGAGCTATCAATGCTCGACAGACTTGATTATGTAGATTAAATTCACACATTATCATGTGATGTCATATTTAATGGGTTAAGAAGATTTACTGGTGCAGGGTTCCTTGCAATGTATGCTACTCTTGCAAGCCGAGATGTGGTAAGTGTCATAACCTCCAGGATTAACTTGACCCTTGGATCAGCTGGTTGAAGAAATGACATGTTGTTTTCTATTTGTTTCATTTTGTTTTCAATTAGGACTGCTGCTTAATTCCAGAATCACCATTTTATCTGGAAGGAAAAGGTGGTCTTTTTGAATACATGGAGAAGCAGCTAAAAGAAAATGGACACATGGTTATTGTTGTTGCCGAGGGGGCAGGGCAAGATCTAATTGCTGAAAGTATGAGGTCAATGAATCATGAAGATGCTTCTGGAAACAAGTTACTCCTTGATGTTGGGCTATGGTTATCTCAGAGGATAAAAGTGAGTTTGCATATTCAGATTAATATCCTTTCATTGTATTACTAATTCAATCTGGATAATACTATCCGTCTGATAAGTTGCAAACGGTTGGTACTGCAGCTTACAATTTGGGGTGTCTCTCCTTCAATGTTGGAAAGTAACAATCTTAAATATTGCATGACACACATTTCATCTTTAAATTTGAGTTACACTGAAGTTAATCAGCTGACCAAAATAACCTAGAAGTAACTTATTTAGATTCCTGTTTTCTCATAGCAAACAGTATGATACATCTGCATTGAAGAACAAAATTTTTAGCAGTCCACTGTACTAATTGTTTTTCTCATGTAGAATTATTTCACAAGCAGACAAAAGATGGTCATAAATCTTAAATATATAGGTACGTGAGCTGTCTTGGCATAATCACACATCTAACTGTGATTAACCAGATGTAAGAGGTTTATTCTTTGGAATGCAGATCCAACATACATGATTCGGGCAATTCCAAGCAACGCATCCGACAATGTTTACTGCACGCTTCTGGCACAGTGTGCGGTGCATGGGGCAATGGCTGGATATACAGGTTTCACAGTGGGGCTGGTAAATGGAAGACACACATACATACCATTTGATGTAAGTATACTTACAACCATGTGATCAAAAGCTTACTAGCTGCAATCAGGCTTCCAACTCAAATTCTAATGATGGCTTGAATTTTCATCCTTTTTTTCCCAAAAGAAAATAATATATTAAGAAAGAAAGATAGAGAGAGGGCCAGTTGTCCTTCCACAAAACCTCTATCTGATTACTTTTGGCATGATTGGCTAATCAGTCAGCACACCGATTAGCCTCTCTATGAACATGAATCACTTTCCAAACCTGAAGCTTGTTCGAAAGATTAAAAAAAAATTCTAGTTAGGTTAGTAAACCTCCATGGTGGTTTGCCCTCTTGATTAAGGACATGTATAATTTGAAGAGCATCAGTTTCAGTTTCCACAAACAAAGAATCCTTCACTGATTGCAGTCTTTACAGTATGGCACACAACCATAAGTTCACTGTGCCGTGCCGGCCACTGAAACCTTCAATCTTCTTGCATCCAACTAGCAGATATCGCCCATCATTAGATCAAAACAGGAATCCCACCCTAGCAGCCTGCGAATCATCGTTAAAAGCGTCGTCGTTATTAATTTTAATCCAGCTCCTGTAGGGCCTAACCCACTGCACCAGGGACTTGAATTTTCATCTTAATGTCAAATTCTACTTAGCAATTTTCCTGTCTGCAAATAGTTTATTTTGATGTGTTATAAAGCAGAGATTGTTGGCATCCTTAACTTGAAAACCCAAATTTACACTTAAATCATATGCTGAATGGTAAGGCATATATGCACAGCATGTTAGCCTCCAGGAAGTAAATTCCAGAATTGCTGAATCTTTGAAGCTCTCAAAGTAGCTACTGTGTAAATCGTTCTTGTAGTTCCTTTTGTCAATCCTTGCTTTCCTTCTCTTATTTTTGCCTATATTTGTGTTATATAGTTGACACTTCTTGGGCCAAGACAACTTGTTTGACACATTGTAATGTGTGTACTAATTCCACCAAAGGATAATGTGAGTTTCTAACCGAAAAGAACACCAAATTTTAGCTTCAAACTTTTTCCAAATGAAGAATCTCCCAATAATAGTAAAGACGATAAAATATTTACATAGAGGAGACTAGAAGATGCCTTTAAAGTCTGGTCACTGTATTTACAAAATATATTATGCCTGTGAAAGATTGTCAGGTCTATTGTATTGTTATCTGATATGATGAGTAGCCCATTTTAGATAAAGCTGTGTAATTTTTACATTTATTCATTGGACCATCATTATTGGCAGAAGCCTATGGAGAGACTTCACCTCAATTATCAGTGCAACTTGCACTGCATTTGCATGTTCATATATGATCCTTTTAGTTTGATTATCATTTCGAGCTACATTGGGTACTTTTTCATTCATGTAAGACTGATATGTAAATTGTTGCATGCTTGGATTCTTCTATTTGCTGGTTTCTGATAACAAGAATTTTCTTAGAGGAGATTTTTCTCCATAAGTGACCGATACTGGCTTTATCTTCTCAACAAATCTCTCTATGATTGCAGAGGGTGACAGAAACAAGAAACACGGTTGTCATAACCGACAGAATGTGGGCAAGGCTGCTGTCTTCAACCAATCAACCGAGCTTTTTGAGCTCTAAAGACGTCGAGGAAGCAAAAATGATGGAGGAGATACCGAAGCAGACAGCGGATGAGGAAAAAGGCATGGAAAATGGTTCTACTTAGAATGGGGCTTTGCTTAACTGCATGACAAACTATAAGCAGTTTGAGGTGTAACAATAGAGTGTGGCGGCGTTACTAAGTGATGTTTTTGTCTTGGGGTATCAAATAAGCGTTTGGATCGTGGTCAGTGTGATTGTTACTTTAAATAATGTAAGCATTCGGACAACGAGTTTAATTGTTCGATTACAAAGTTTTACAATCATGCTGATATTTAAGTAGTTGAATTATTGCAATAGTTGTGTTAGATTATCACAATAATTATAACATTAAATAATATCTTTTGCACAAAACACTTGATTCTGAGTTTACTAATAATATATCAATCTATCCTGAGTAGTTGAGGATTTGACTTTACTAATGAAGATATAGATGATCCATGAAGATATGGATGGTAAAAAAAAGTGGCTAACTTAAGAGGTTTGAAGATATGGATGATTAAAGAAGTGATAACCGCTCCGACAATTCTATGATACTATAGTTGTTGATGCTCGATATGAAGTTGGGGGAGTGAGTCTATCATATCGATCATATTTGGACTCAAGAAGGAAACAAGTCGATGAGGATTCATCATGAATAATTTTATTAATGAAGATATGAATGAACAAGGAAGTGGCTCTGAGACATCATCCGATGTCTGAAAATATGGATGATCGAGGAAGTGACAGTCGCTCCAAGACATTCTTTGATGCTTAACTCAAGATGTCCGGAATGATATGTCAGAACCAAAAGAGAGAATAAAAAAGACTTTATACTCGGATCGCGGTTGAGTTGACACATGAGGTAGCATACCTACCCCAAAATAGCAGTTAGGTGGCATAGCTGCCCCAGGGTGACAGTTTGCACTTACTCGTCCAAGAAAATTCAACAGACTTGTTGACACAGAAAATAATGTAAAATGGGCAATACATCTACTCTAACGGACATTTTCTATCATTTATTTCCATTACCATTCCAACATGAACCATATTTATCACTGCAGAGAATTCAAGAAATCTACATTTTTTTTTATGCGTTATCATCAATGTCCTACTATCATTAGATCCAGCACAAATTTCATTAAGACATTTGGACCAATAAATATGGAAGTTCACATCACGGTCAACTAGCATTTAAGTTCACATCACCGTCAATAAATTGTGAGTTTGGCATTTGAAGAATAATCATCAATAATATTCCTCAAGGACTTACATCTCATAACACAAGGATATCAAACGAATGAAAGGCAATGTGGAACAAACTTGTTTCTCACTGGGCAGCATTTCCGACCGACAACATTGGCGAGGAAAAAAAAAAAAAACATACTAATATGAAATAGATCACTTAAAACTTCCAAACCTGTTGTTGGCCAAAGGTTGCAGGGCTCCCACCCCCACCTGTTGGTCCAGATCTACCAAGACCTGATCCGGCTCCCATTGCTCTTCCCATATATGCTGCTGTTGCTGGTGTGGTTTTTTCTTTCTCGATGGGTGCATCATCAAGCCCTCCCACAATCCCAATGTCTGCTAAGTTTACTTTCTTGGCTGCAGACAGACATGAAACACCCAGAAAAAAAGTTAAAAAAACCCGCACGAAGCAAACATAATATTGCTAATATTTCAACTACATGAACTTGCAACAACCAAATGTCTCAAATCAAGCAAAGGCATATGGGATACAAGGAAAAGAAGGCAGGGATCAACTGTTGATCCTAGGCCAACTTATGGTCAATCCCTGCAGTCCACACATATACTGGCCAATGAGGTCAGTCTTAGAGGATCCCAATTATTACAAATCATATCTGGGCATCCCAAAAGAACTAAATTCCATGTTTGGATTTGGGTCATCCGACCAAGCTGGCCAAAAATCCATTCAAAATTCTAGGACTGATCCAAAAGTTATCCCAATCTTATGAACCTAATCTCCATGTACATAAGCACATTCAGATCTGGCACATAAGCTGGACTGATGTATAAATCCCCACTGAAATTGATTATGTACATAAGCTGTATATTCTGCCTTATGAATATTTATGAATTTATGCCATATTCATGCATATGGAGAAAGAGTAAAAGAACAGGATAACTTGCATGTCTGATGAAAAAGAATCAGTGACATGAATTAACGAAGCACATCAAACCATGTCTGTGTACAAATACAAACATGAATATTACACAAGATCAAAAAAGAAATAGATAAAGGCAATAGACATAAGTTTCTCTATGCATCTGGCTAGATTGACTGCTCAAAAGGAAGGCAATAGATATTTCAAAGTACATATTTTTTCAGCAGAATGCTAATATCTTAACTTGGACCGGTAACCCAATGGATTATTTATCAGTTGAGATAGGCTTTACTTGCTAAACAAGACAAAAGTTAAAGAGAAACAAAAATGGTTGGTATACTTGTTATTTGATAATAAAGAAAAAAATATAGTATGCATGTCCTCTCATATATTAAGTTGCAATCTTCATGTTGGTATATTTGATAATAAAGGAAATATAAACTATGCATGTCTCTCATGTATGAAGTTGCTGCAATCTTCATGCAAAGAATCACAAGCATTGAGCTAGACTAAGATAGCAACTGAATGTAGAGAAACTCACGAGCAGATATGTTCAGATCAATCAGTCCACGACTTAAGCAGTCAGCCCAGACCCCAGATTTGACCTGAAAGTTGTCTTTCCGAGCAGCAGGTGCTGATACTGTCAAAGGAGCCTTCAGGTTGTTGAGGCTGCCTTTAGAAGAATGCTGTGAAGGTTCTGGAAGTGTTTGTTCAGTGTGAGAAGTGAAATCACCAAATGCAGAGTCCTCATCTAGGTTGTTCTTGGTGGTGTTTGTATAATCTTGTGCAGGTTCTGTAGTTACTGGTTTGGCATAAGCAAATGTCCCAAAGGGGTCAGATCCATCAAAGCTGTTAATTGGAATTGCAGCAAAGGGATCAAAACTTTCATTATTGACAGTATTAGAAGCTTTGGTTTCTGAAGGCAAGCCTGTGTTGGGTACATCAAAAAGGTCAACATTTGAAGAAATTGCAGCAGGAAAGGCAGGCTGACTAGCAAAAGGATCAAAGTTTCCCTGCAAGCCAATGTGAGGATTGTTAAAAAAATTATTTTGAAAGGTCATATACATGAAAAGCAGCAACAAAGATGCTTGCTGATTGTAAAACTCATACATTTTCCTAGAATATAGAATTAAAGACAGATATGAAAAGTTTCCTGAGAATTTGAAAAAAAAGATATAATTCATCATCACAAATTTCTCACTCTCCCCCCCCCCCTCCCCTCCAAAAATATATATATATATACAGTGGCACTTGGATCAAGGTTTTGAATATCAGTGGCATGTTTTAATTGTTGCTGGTTCGGTATGGCTCAACATGCATCCATACCAGCTGAAGAAGCTCAAAATTAGCTTCATAATAGTAAAACAAAGGCTGTGCAGGCATAGGACCATGGCACAAGACTCCAGTGCTGGTTGAAATGCAGTTCTTGACTGAGATTACTCACAGACCATGCAAAAATCCTATATAATATTTTTCAGTACTACTATCAAGCCACGCAGGGCTAATGATATCAGACATACAATTTACACACAATGTGGCAACACATGATTGATTGCAGACAATTTATTGCTATTGCATCAGTTAATATACTAATATTACATCAATAGAATAACTTTCTGAAATTTAAATCACCATATGATGCTGATAAACAAAATGAGAAAATTTTACTAATTGAATGATTCCATATTAAACAGCCAAAATGAAGAAAAACAACCTGAGTGTGAGAATCTGATATTGCGTCTGCATGTGAGGCTGATTGAAAGGTTGCATCAGCAAAGAGATCAACTTCAGAATTAACAGAATTATTATCTACTGTAGCTTGTGGTGAAAAAGATGGTGCTGCATCCATGAGATCACCCACTAAGCTTTGTCCAAATAAATCCACTTGGTTAGTGCCTGCATTAGAAGATCCTGTAAAATCAAGAGGATCGATCCTTATAAGAAGCTCATAGCACATTTGACCAAAATTTCTAATGTTCAGAAGCAACAAAATATTGTCAAAATATTTGCATCATCAGGCAAGACATCTACATGTCTGCAAAGAGAAAATAAGAACATCTTGCTCCAAGAACTACCTTCCTAAATTTATCTACAGATTGGTCAAAACTGTCAGCCAAGTTTTACTGTATATCATCAATTACTTTAACAACCTTTCAACAGATTACATGACAAACTCGACAAATCAAATATCTTAGATTAAGCCATGAATCTAGTACAAAGTTTGGAAACTGGAAGACATGTTCAAGCTTTGTTTACAGCGATAGGTGAAAAACAAAGCTTTATTTTTTCAGAACTAGTTCTTTCTGATGTCATCAAGCCAAAGATTCATTTCTGAGCAAAACTAAACAGCAAGAAACCAATTATTTACTTTGAAAATGCATTAGGTACAACTGTACAAGTAACACTTCTGTTTATTATCTTTTAATTATGTTTTTTGGCTATTTATCCTCTAAAAGCTTCCACCATGTACAAATGGGAAAATCTTATACACATTTCTGTAACCATTTCTGACTTGCTAGTATCAAATGCAACTTCAACAACTTTAAGGATTAAGGTCCTGTGTGAAAAGTAGCATGTATTCAAGGGGATGTCACCATATACATGTCCAATATTGTGCACAGGATGAAATTCCAATATTGGTCCGAGTCAAAGTTGACCAAGCATATTCAAGGTGCCAGGTCTCGTGGGTGCCCAAGGAAAGACACAAAATAAGTGCTCGACCAAGTGAAGCAAGGCACAATTAATACAATTGAAGAAAAATATATTGATGGAACTTCAAAGTGTAAACTAATGAACATAACTCAAGAAATAACTATTGCTACAGCCTTTGTTCACTTAAGGAATAGGTTCTTTCGAGTTGTCAACCAAGTAAGCATAGCAACAACTGTTTTAGTCGTTATAGTGCTGCAGCCATCACCTAGCAAGTAGGCATCGCGATGAACAACAGCTGCTACATTTGCTAGCTAGCCAAGCAACAACAACCAATAATCTGGCACACACCCAGAGAGAGAGAGAAGCAAAAAGGAACAAAGAAAAAAAATCTAATTCATCCATCATCATATATGAATCATCACAAATCTCCGATGGGCCATCCATAGTCTTACTTGTTCACAGTAGGCCCATCATACCCCATTCTCTGTACAAGTAGGAACACTGTGGAGCTTGGAAAAAGAATCCATATATGAATTAAATATGTAAAGTTGATTGAAGCATTCAAGTAGCAAACTCCAGCCAAGCATGTGCCTGAGTCAAATCTCACTTAATACCTAAGTTCAAAAAAGTGAGAAACTTGGTTGAAGTGATTTGCCTCTATGTAGTACAGGCACCTTGGGTTCACCTTGCCTCATCCAAGTGCTTAGGCAAGTGAAGCACATGCGTAGGCAACACTGTTCTGAGCTAACAAATGAGAAGCATATATATTATATACTTTCTCACCATTGTCAGTGGATGCCAGAGCTTATGGTTTGATTGATGCAGTAGGTGAGGTTCTACGTAAAGATGGAGGCTTTTCTCTATAGCTGATCAAGAGTGATGTTTAGTTTATATTCATTGTTTTATTTAGATTCATGCTTATTTGATGCAGTTCAGATCATGTTAGGCAAAGTTAATTAGTTCGATATAAACCAAGCTGTGTTCATATTGGTTTTGTTTTAAGTTTATTGGTCTGTACAAGAAGGTCACAGATTGCATTGGTCGCCCACAAATAATTGTTTATGGACCCTCTTGGGTTAATCTATACATGAATAAAGTTTTTCTTTCTCTTCATAGTCGATTGATGAGTGCAGAATATATTCTTCTCCCTCTCTCTTGTCTAGTATTGACAAAATATTAAAACAATCTTTTCCTTGCAGTAATAATGTATTCTCATCTTTGTTCATCAGCTTTCTAAACTAAAACTAAAACCTTCATAGTTCTCCGATATATTATCACTATATCCTCAGACCTTAAATTTCAGCTTCAGCAAACCCTCTATTTTGTGTTCATCATTGTTGAAGCTTTCAAACCTACTATACCTCTCCACACATCTATCCTAAGTCAACTCGACAACATCGTAGGCCCATGGTTGTGCACTAAATTGGTTAGATAAGATTTAGGATGGTACATTTTGGCAAGTGGCATTGTTAGATGATAAGTTCCTCAATTTGAAAACTATTAATAGAAGCAGTAGAAAGATCTTTCTATTTCATCATGCAAATACACTGCTTATTTGCCAGTACATAGTAACATGATAACTTACCAGATAAAGAAGATCCACGTGGATCGAAGTCATCAAAATCATCCTCCTCACTATTTGGTTGGGCATTAGGGCTTTTAGAAGATGGAACATCACGTGACTTGTTCAATGTATTCCTGTAAGACAAGAAAAACAAGTAGCAATTAAAGAATTATAGGTAAGAGCATTGCAGCTAACTTATCTTATGTAGTACATAGTCACACTAAGCTAACTAATAACTTGATATAGATAATTGCTGAAACTTGAGATGTTCGGTCCCTCAAGCATTTATCTCAACAGCCTATATTACATGTATAGTCAAATCACTTTGAATTTAAATTATGTTTTTTTTTAATTTTAGCTCTCTATTTGTGTAACAAAGCTTAAACATTATGCCCAAATATAAAACAGTTAACAAATTGAAGCGTTGATTCCTTATGCATGTATTGCATAATTGCAGTGTGAAAAGGCTCGGGGTTCCAGCTTCATGCTTCTAGACCCAAACCAAGCCCAAGCATAGCTAAAATTTTTGCATTGGATCAAGAAAAGTATCAGAATGTGGAGCTCATAGCCAAACTTAAAGCAATGCAAGCTCGAACCTAGTCTACGCTCAATGTGCTTGTGCTAAGGGCCTCATAGAACAAACCTGAGCCAGATTTTCCATGTCATATACACTTGGAGGTTTGGCAAACCCATAAATTTAACATCCTAAGCACAAAAGCAAAATTGCTGTTATTGTCCTTCAAGAAGATGAAAATATTTTAGTTACAGTAAAGCATAACTTCTTTTAACATTGAAGCCAATGACATCTAGTTCCTATATAAGAGTATCGATCATGACTTGGGTTTGATGGGTTAACCGACCCATCAACCTCATTTGACCTAATCAACTGTTCAAAATTCTTAAGCTGAAGTTGATAGTAGTACACTCATCATATCTTTGTAAGTTAATCTTAGTATTATTCACTTTCAATGTAGAACTAATCAAAGTATTATAATTTCCCTCCCTCAACGACTTAACGTCCTCATCAAGCCCTAGTATAGCCCAGATCAAATCCTAGCATAGTGCATGCGAAGCATAACCCAGTGGTGACTCCACGATATGACAAGTCCTCTAACTCCATTTACGGATAGCCCTTTCCTACTTGAGCTTTCTCACCATGCCTAATTACTCAGTCAATTTTGATACTAAATGTCACAACCCGGGTCTAATAAGCTAACTGGCCCATCAACTTCATTTGACCTACACCATTGACCAAAATACTTAAGTTGAAGTTGATAGTAGTACACTTATCAGACCCTTATAAGTCAATCTTAGTCTTGTCTAATTTCGATGTGAGACTAATCGGAGTGTTACAATTTCCCCCACTCAAGAGCTTGACGTTCTTGTTAAGGCCTAGCATAGTTTAAATTAAATCCTAGCATTATGCATATGAGGCGTAGCCCACTGATGGTTCCATGTCGTGACGAGCCCTCTGACTCCATCCACAAGTAGTCCTTTCCTATTCGAACCCCCTCACTATGCCCAAATACAAGGTCGGCTTTGATACCAAATATCATGACTAGGGTTCGATGGGTTAACTGGCTCATCAACTTCGTTTGACCTAAACCACTAGTCAAAATGCATAAGCTGAAATTGATAATAGTACACTCATCAAACCTAATAAGTCAATCTTAGTCTTACTCACTTCCAATGCGGGACTAATCAGAGTATTACAGTATCTACATGATAAAATCCAACGTATGATGTAGTATACATTGGACTAATGGGATGAAAATGAAATATATAGTGTTGAGTCTGAAATATATAGTATACATTGAGTCTGAAAATGTATGCAGGCCCACAATGCATAAATCATGACCTTGGACTATGATTTATGCTTGCTGCCAAACCTAAGAAAAAAATTCCAGATTTTTCTGTTTTTGTGTCGGTGTGCATGTGTCAGTTCTCAAATTTTTTACATGGACCACAAACAAAAGAACTAATTTTTTAATAAGACATAAATAAGACCACAATTGAACAAATAAAATAACTAAACAAGAAACAGAGTCAAAACAAGTAGCTACTTTTGTGTACCTGGAATGATGTGAAACCTGCTTCTTTGATTTGATCCCTTCATTTTCTTCAGCAACAATTTGTGACTTTTGGCCATCTTGTTTTTCATGCCTCCATTTACTTTCTTTTCCATATTGTTCTCCTTTATAACTATCTCTGAAGGAGTCACCTTCCCTTGAACCACTTCCATAACGATCACTATTCCGGAAGCCGCCACTGCCATATGAGGCTGAACTTGATTTTAATGTTATTCCGGTGGACGACAGACCAATGTACCTGAATGCAGCAGATTTTAATTGCGAGAATATAGGTTTCTTAAACCACAATGTGAAATCAGCATTTCAAGTGGAAATACTTTGATGAGTTGGGCCTTACTTATCTCTATTGGCAGATGCTTTGTCTCTTACTGCTTTTATTTTCTCCCTGTCATTCAAAAGAGCTAAAATGGTCTCAACCTTCTTCCTTACATTGATCCCAACATCCTTCCCATTAGGCTCAACATATTCAAATCCTGAATTTGCCTTTATAAAATATAAAAAAAGATAAGGAAGAAGCACAAGACTGAAAATAAAACTGAACATGTACTAAGTAAAATACAAAGTGTTTCTCAACAAAGTTAAAGATGTACTGAAATTTGGAAAGTATGCTCAATAATGTCATCAACTGCACGTTCTGAACCATTTGCCACCAAGTACTCAATAACAGTCAATGCCTGAAATTTACATAAAGGAGAATTTTAATGTAATAAATCTGTAATTTGTGAACAACATATAAAGCGAGAGTTGTAACTTTAAGTGAAGCACCACCTTATATACATGGCGCCAGTTTGGTCCGGTATCCGTCAATCTTGTCCAAAGCACATTCATAATCAATTGGCACTCAGTGCTGCACAGATGGGTATTCTAAGAGTCATATATACATCAGTGTAGAACAAACCTCAATTACAAATTCAGCATCAAATGCACAAAAATGAGCAGATTAAATTTACAATTTTTTTGTTGCCTGAGCAATCTCTGATAAGGCAGTTCCATGAGGACCCCAGGCTTCATCATTGGTGGCATCAAGAACCTATATATTGAATAATTGTGAAAGCAAGACAAGGAAACAGCAGATTTGAGTTATTAGGACAACATAGATGAAAATTGAGACATACATTTACCATGATTAAATTTGACTCCTTCCTAAATTAGCAATCGAACAATTAAGCACAAAGATTTTAGAATCTCACAACCAACCTAGGCTTATCTTAATCGAAGATCGAAATGATCCGAGAGAAACTCAAAAAGAAAACAGAACATCAAAGACCAAAAACCTGAGATCTGAACAAGATCTCGAGAGAAAAAGGGCAATACTAGTCGTCAAACGAAATTCGGAAGCGGAACCCCAACCTTCTGTTCGATCTCCGGCACCTTGAGCACCTTCAGATTCACCTCTCTCTTTCTGGAAGATCACCAACCAAGAAAATTATAAGGGAAAAAGAAGAAGAGATCCCTAATCAAAGATCTTCCGACGGAAAACATCAGTGAAGAAGATCCAACGCAAGAACTCACATCTCGCGGACCGTTTGATCCAGAACCTTCATGAAATCCATGGCCGGGGCGTTCCAACGCGGAGATTTCGATCCGCGATCTGGGATCGGAAGGAAACGGAAGAGACTTAGAATCCGATTGACGGATCAAGAGAAAAGACGAAGAATACTTATTTAGGGTTTCGCAATGAAGGGAGGAGGAGGAGTTCGACGTTACCGTCGCAGATGCAGATGAGGAAGAAGAAAGCAACGGCGATCGCAGCTATAAAAGAGAGTCGGAGATTTGATCTCTATATATATCTATCCATGGAAGGTAGGGGAGGCTCTTACAACGTCGCTGTGGAGCCTTCATCAGGGAATCAGACGGCTCCCCATTGTGCGGTACTGTGTCCACGTGACGGGCAGCTACGCAGGCAGACTGGTTCACCCCTGAAATCTTTCATTGGTTATGGTGTCTATGTCGTGTCAGCTTTACGTGGGACCCAAAAATGGTAACATCACCCCTGTATTTTTGCCTGGCCGACTCGATCAGTTACGGTTTTTTTTTTAGTAGTATATATGGGGAATTTAAGAAACTTCCAATATTTTCATAGGGGTATAAATAAGAATTCAAGTATTTTACAGGATGATGAATTAATTTGTACTGTATTATATTTTAGCTAACATAAAAATATTCGAAACATTAGTTTGTATCATATTTGAAGTATTATTTCTTAGTCTTTGTATAGTCTTAATAGTGTTTTGCAAAGGATGAGAGTCTAATAATGAGTATTTTTGACGAATAAGTGAAAGAAAATAAAAAAAGATGGATATTTTATTTTAAATAATTTAAAATAAGGATTTTTTAAAAGAAATTTCAAATAAAAATATTGCATATATTTTAATAAATAATTCATATTAAAGCCAGACAGCAAACCTCTTTCCCTTCTCCCATTCAGCCAACTCCACTAACAATACTATTAGGGTAAAAGTACTTTCTAAAAATATCTCCTCTTTTATTTTTTTTTTAATAATATATTTAATTTAAAAAGATATCTAAAAATACTCATAAAAAAATTTGTCAAAAAATTTGTTTATTTTTTATTAGTTATAATTATTAGAGTATTTTTATCTGACTTATTTACAGTGTTTTCCAATAATATTTATAGTGTTTTATTGATGTATGGAAAATATTATAAATATTATTAAAAAATATAAGTGATATCATATATTATCTTTGGTTGTCATTGCTTATAGATTATTATAATATTATATTTTTAGATTCATAATTAATTTGATTGAGGTTATTGGTATTTCTAGATCATTTATAGTGTTTTAAAATAGATTTTATAATGATGGCTAAAATACTATAATAAGCTAAAAATATTATAAACAGAAAAAAATTTAATGAGTATTTTGAGTAATTTTTAAATTAGGGATACTATTTGGAAAAAAAATAGAATAGGGATACCGATTGAAAAATATCCAAAATAAATAAATATTTTTTAGGATATATAATAATAATAATAATAATAATAATAATAATAATAATAATTGATTTGCACCACAATGGTTTGCTTGATTAGCCTTAAGAAAGCCTGCAACACAGACTTAATATGATCACTTTAAAAAGTACAACTGAATAGTCCATTATTTCAAGAAAAGAAAAGAGCTTTCTGTTCATCAATCATATGGTATATTCTGAGGAGACTCTGTTATCTGAACTGTTGAAAAATAAACTTAATTTTATCTAGCTTCTGCATGGTCTTGCCTGATCACTTAATATTTATTATGTGGAAATAATGCAGCTAGATAATTATAATGTCAAGTGTATGGTCTTAAAGATATAAAGTTATCTTATTAAGTGTAGGATTATTTTAGTGAGTGTAGGGTCATGTTGAAACTAGTATGAGTCATATTTGACATTAGGTAGGAATTTTAGAAGTTATCTCTAGTCCTGTAAATAGATGGGGATGTGTTCATAATGTGTATGGGATTAATCAAGAAAGTAAGAAAGTTTATTTTTGCCTCTTCTACTAAAATTTCATCATTCATTCTTTCATAACAAGAACTAGGTCATGTCTTTGTTGAGACATCCAATTGATTAGTACATTGTTAAAAAAGTAATGGGCCTTAGGTTTGAGTCCACATGTGAGTGTTATCCGCCCGGTACGGGCGGTACATACCGGTCTGACAGGCCAGCGGTACGCGGACCACCCGGTACCGGTCCGCACTGTAGCACTACAGCAGTGCACTATTGCAGTGCTATAGTGCTCGGTGTACCTGGTGTACCGTTCGGTACACTTGGGTGTACCGCTCGGTACACCGTACCGTATCGATACCAAGCCGAGATCGAAATACCGGTACGGTACGATATTGCGAACCTTGGTTATATATATCATTTAATGTAATGAAAATTTCTTCCAATTTTCTTTTTTAAAGCAAGAACTACATTGGTCACCCATAATATTGCTAATTAGTTCAGCAATTCAACATTCTATTATTATTTTTTAAACCTACATAGTGTTGGCCCTATTAGAAATCCTAGCTGGTAGCAGTCGAGTGACACCAATGGCTTGTTCATTCTTCAGTCAACTTCATTTAGTTTGCAAGCTTTTCAGCCACACCAAGGTCTGAAGAACACAGAGACCATCAGATGCAAATTGATGGTTGCCAGTTCACATATGCACAGTTAGCAAAAATCACAGACACATTTGTACGAATCATCGACAGGGGAGGATTTGGAATTGACTACTATGGTGAACTAGAAAATGGTACTCAAGTCGTGGTCAAGCTGTGGTTGCAGTCATCCCCACAAGGAGCCATGGAATTCCTGGCTGAGGTAATAACTCAGTTCTTCTTGGGCCTGTGGATTTCAAGGTTGAAGTTGCTTTTGATCATAGTATTGTGGAGTCTCGTAGGGCTTAACAAGATGTGATTGATATGTTTCACTCTCACTACAATTGCCTCATTCTCCTAAATACAGAATCCAAGCTTCATCTTCAACATGAGTTTTGTCATGGAGAGAGGAGATACTACTGCTAGATTCTTGTCTTCAAGCTTGACAACATTCTGTAGTAGTGTGTTGCAGGCACAGAACTTAACAAGAGTTCACAGAGGAATCTGGTTTCTTTAATCGGATACTGCAATGACGGTAACTACCTTGTGCTTGTATACGAGTTCATGCCTCGAGGAAGCCTTCAAGAACATCTAAAAGGTTTCATATTACAACCTTCTCATCATTATGAATTGAATAGCTAGTAGATATGAGGTCCATCAACTCTTCTAATGGACTTGATATTTCATGACTAACAGGAATTGTGCTTGATGATGAAAGTATTGTTGATCATAGAAAGTTATGATACCTAAAATGATTAGCTTTTCAGTTTGATCTTTCGGCAATGTCTTCGATCCTTCTAATTGCTATGTAATCTTCTTCTAGGCAAAGCTGGTCTCCACAGAGGGTTAAAAGAATCTGCTTACGTTCTTACTTCATGTTGGGTGACGAAATTTTTATTTATCTTCATCAAACAACTTCTCCTTAACACATTGCACGATTGGACTATCTGCACAGGAGATGCAAGCCAACAATAATTCACAGAGATGTGAAGAGCAGCAACATTCTCTTGGGTGAACATTTAGAGGCCAAAAGAGCAGATTTTGGACTCTCCAAGACTTTCCTCAACCAATATGGCACTCATGTCTTCACAATGAGAGTGGTTGGCACGCTTGGATATGTTGATCCACAGTATGTCCTTTTTGCCACCATGATTTCTAAATCTACAATTAATTTCTGATTCATAAAGCCTAAAATGATAGATGACATATCTGCAAACACACTTCAAGCCTAATTTGAGCAACAAAAAATCATTGACACTGGACATAGCATAAGATGTACTCCATCAATGATTCATCATTTATCTTGATCCTGTAGTGATCTTTTTTTTTTTTTGTAAATGTTGATTGGGTCTTATTTTCTGGCTCCAAGATCAGAATATTTCCATGATTTCTGAGCTTTGATGGACATGACTTGCTCATTTTGCTTCTGAGACAATTATGATTCTGCTTGTGTTTTCAGGTATCACACTACCTTACAGGTCAATGTTAAATTTGATGTGTATAGTTTGGAGTGGTTCACCTGGAGCTGATCACTGGCCAACCTCCAATAGTTTCAGCTTCAGGAAGAGTTCACTGTCCCAAAGGCTCGATAGGGGGCACATCGATGAATTCATCGATGAAATGCCGCAAGGAAACCATGAAACCAACTGTGTGTGTAAGGTAGTTGATCTGGCACTCGGATGCACAACATTCTCTGGTAGCCAGAGGCTGACAGTGGCTGAAGTGGTGAACCAGCTAAAAGAGAGCATAGTAACTGGAGATCACTGTCCACAAAAGCGAAAGCCTGCAGAATACAAGCCAGACCAGTGCATTCGGAATTGAAAGTGTGGCCAGAACCTTTGGTCCACCTGCAAAATGAGTTTCATCTCCTGACCTCTTTTCCAGTTGTGTGTCTGCTCAGATAACATGTGTACCCCCTAAAATGGATGCTATGCTCAGATCCATAGTTGATTAAAGCTTTTACTTTGTTAGATATTATTAGCAGAATCTTAACCAATGACACTTTGATTAAGAGGGACTGTTCTAGTTGTTCTGCATATGCTCTCTGTGGTCAATCTGAATCAATAAATCATACCATTTTGCATAGTTCATGATTCTTCTGCATTACAAAGTCAAGTCCAGTCCCCTTCTTTTTCTTGGTAGAATTTGTTGCTGGACAAAAAGAAATCAAGAAATCTCTTCTGTTTCTTTTCTAGTGTGAAACTTAATCCAGACACTAGAATATCCAGTTGTTGATTCTTTCTTCTTGGTGGGGAAAACAAAGAGCTGTTTCATCTTTTGGTTTTCCCTTTGTTGTTGTTGCTGCTGCTGTAGATAATTAACCTGTTTTTGACAAAAGAAAAACATAACCTCTACATTAAACATTTTGACATTTCAATTGGTTGAAATGAACACCTTATAAGATGACTTGCTTGCTGAAGTCCAGCTTTAAATCAAACCACAGTATGCAACTAGGAATAAGATGGCATACAAATCTAGATTGGGAGATTTCTTGTTTCTCAAGTCACTGATTCAAACCTCATGTTTCTCCAGTCATGGGTGATAAGCAAGTCAAGGCCATTGACTTCCCCTTAGAACAAACATGGTCTTCCAATTAAAAAGATGGATGAAAAAGACAATGATAGCACCTTACAATGGAAGAAAGAACAACTTGGTTAGATTACTCCTAGAGGAGACAAAACATCATAAATAATAGTCTTTTCTGATAAGAGGCACTAACTG